GGGGGGGGGGGAGAAAGAGAGAGAGGGCAGCATTACTGCTAACCTCTAAAGAGTTAGAGCAGACACCAGCTTACTTTCTCAACTTATAGCGGAATAAATGGTACAGGAAGACTAAATCCCCTCTCCCCAGCTAGGGGTCCCTGGGCAATTGGTTTACTACAAACCTCTATATATTACAGGCCTCGGGCTCGTAAGTACTCAGTGTCAGACTTACCAATTGTAGTGAGAGCTACGGTCTGGTAACTTGTGCTCAAAACAGAACTCTTTTGCGTAAGATATTTATTTTTTTAAAAAAATAACGAATTGTGCAGGAAACGTATTTGAATCCGTACTGTGAACAGTGGTTTTAATTGGCGTGTAGGGCATAAAACATACTCGTTTCAAACACATGCAACACCCTACTATAGCCGTGGCATTCTACATACATCATCAATTAGGACAGAATGAATTAGAAAGGGTGGGATTAGACGAGTGATCAACATCACGTACTAGATTATTGAAAACGTAAGGTGGAAATAATTTCTAGCCCACTCACTAGATGGTAGTTGTGTGCTAACATGGTTGACTCGCCGTCCAATGCAAATGTTAGTGTATCGGATTGAAATCTTCCAAAAGTTTGTACCATAAACGGCGAGATGATGATAGGGTATCAGCCTCATTAAATTTAAATTCATTTTTAATTTAAATGCACAGAAACATATAGTTCTCATATGAGTTTCAGTTCTAAGTTCTCCTTTATTGTACGTATGCTGCTGTCAGTTTAACAAACAAGGCATTTATAATCTTCGTACTGTTCGTAATGTTCAATAGAATTCATAGAGTTTAGATTTTTTATGTTTTTAGACGGTGCGGAAATGCAACTTAGTTATCATAATTTGCAGCGTGCGACAGGAAAGAGATGTGTCCATAAACATAAATGCGGAAAATCTGGACAAAGCGTCTTTCTCCTGCTAGCAGTAACCAGGAAACAGGACCATTTTTTCTCGTAATGTAAAATCAAACGCTAAACGTTATGATTCACTAACCTTGGTACATTTTCGATTTGTTTGCCCCACATGTAATCCGGAGAAACTGTCGTGTAATATTAAGTTTTAGCGGATATGATGGATAATGCAATTGATTACTTATGTTTGTTAACGATGCTAAAAAGTATTCGTCTACCTGAAGGAATCATCTGGTATTTATCATCAATGTTAATCAATATAGGGCGTTATTTTATCATGTGACTAAAGTTGTGCTATTAATTCATCAGAAATTATCTAACTTTGATCCGTTAATACGCAGACACTAACACATTTCATGCTCTTTTTGACATCAAATAATTATTTACTGGTGTTATTAATATATATCTCTAAAGGGTTCTAACGATGATGTTTTATATCCTGCATTGCTCCTCTTTGCTTGATACATCGTTCACTATATTAAAAAAACGAAGCTACTACGTTTCGGGAGCTGGTTCTATTCCTGTCTTGAGGTGAAACTGGATGTTGTTTCAGTCCCACGGATTGCGAATAGCCCCTTTCATCGGAACCGACTGAACAGGTATTTTCACCTGAGGACGGGGGCAGAACCAGCTCCCGAGACGTAGTTACTTCGTTTTTAATTTACTGAACGAAGGACCATGTCCAGAGAAACAGCAATACAAAGTTAGTAATAACAAGTATAAAGTACGGTTTACATGTTTCAGTCATCTTTAAGTACCTTTGAACCCATCTATAAGTAATGAAAATAAGTTTTCATACACGTTCATCATAAATGGTCATTTGTGTAGAAATAACGCCACCATTAATTAAAACTATGTAATGTAGTTGCAAGTTTAAAAACAATTTATACACAAAATGCTATAGAGATATGTTGTGTTTAATGTTATTGAACTTTGTATCTGAATACTGTCTCATAAAGTATTCTATCAAATGAGTGGATTTGCAAATAATATGCTTAGTATGCAGTAAAAACATTATTAATTTATCGTGTAGAACAGCAAACAGTTGCCAGACTGTAGACTTGTAGTCCAAAGGGAGGAAGCCAAAACAGAAACACATGACGATACCATCGAAGCGGCCTGAAGCAAAATTCGTTTATATTCCGGGTTGTATTATGGAGCAGAAGCGATACAGTTCCAGTTGATAGTCCACGCCCACATACTACTATGCGGGCGTGGGCGTTCATGTTTCGTTCTTATCATAGTATTGTGCTTTTTTTGTAAAATTATTGCTGATGTTGATAGATTAAGTGAACAACAGAACCTGTGTCCTGCACAAAGGAAATACTTCATTCTGCAGTTTTTAGGCCTCAGAAACAATTTCTGTCTTCAGTACCTCGGTACAGAACCCGGCACTGTCATGCGTTTTGTAAAGTTTAATCTCGTACTCTTCCTCTGACTTGCTAGTAGGTTGTTTTGATCCACACCTGTACTGAAATGTTTTAAAATTTATTGTCATCCTGGCTATTGACATTGACAAGGTATATCAAAACAAGGTATTTAAATCCTCATACCTTCACATATGGTCTAAAATTTATTAAAAACGAAACACGAAAATTCCGTCCTACGGAGAAGTCGAAATTCAAAATCACAGCACTGTTCTTCAGTTTATTGTAGAATACAGCAACCAAGGCGCTGGCTGTGTTGTGGAAAACGGATCGATGGTAGGGACAATTTGATTCCTCGGACGAAGCAGTTTTGTTATAATTCTATTTTAAAGTAAATCGATCATTTGCAGTGTCACACAAATTTTCTTTTTTGCCTTGGAAACCAAAGAAGAAAATGCATCGTTTCTCACATCAGTCCGTTTTATTATTGATTGAAAATTACCAATTCAGACGTGGCCAAATTTGTTGAATTGTTTGCTGTGGGATTTTATGACAGAATATTTTTAAATACCTGACTGCGGGGTTCACAATGAAGGAGGAATAAAATTGTAACTATTAAAATTTAATAGTTTAAATACTGGAAAATGTTGATTGTCTTAAATTTTTAAATATTACAAACAGCGCATTAATTAATTTGAAATTATTATTTGTACTGAGTGATCCAGACAATAATAATCGTGAATCACAATTATTTTTGTATAAATATCAAAGCTTGTGCAGTTCGATATCTAATTATATCACATTTTTTAAATGTTAAACCTAATTTGAATCCCTTTCTATATGTCAAGTTCTGTTTAATTTGAATTCAGACACATACGCCTAAAATCACTAACCCTGGATCACTTAATATTCTTCGTTTTTAGTGCATGATCCTGAGTTTCAGGAGCATTCCCGTTTCGTCGTTCATATTAAATATGGCGTTTCTTCGTATAAGCGACAACCTGCGTTCCGTGTACCAACTCCTACGTTTGTTTCGATTCGCGTTAAAGATCATCATTAGTAATATATTGAAGTAAACAAACTGAGATACGCAATAGCGCAATTAATTCAGCATTTATATCTGGGAGACGAAACTTCGATATTCCAAACGACTATGTAAGTACCATATTTTATCATAATTTCCTCATAGCTTAACCATATTATTAATTCTTATCGTGACAAGAAAATAAAACTTCGACGTTCCAGAAAATATTATGTTTTCATTTTTAGCTTGAATATAAGTAACAAACTAGTTTCAACTTTTTACGAAAAACCGAGACAATTATTTCATTTCATTGCTTACTTATCACACAAATTTTATATTGGCAAGTTGTTAATATATTTCATAATTTATTTCTTATTGACAATTTTGATGTATTATCATAACCACTAATGGCCCGCTTATTAAAGGACATTAAGAGTTTAGAAACTAATTGCACAAAAATTTAACTCCGAAAGGAACGGATTTGAGATGAAATTTATTGACGACGGGCAATGTCAAACTCGGAAGAACGTGAAGTCCTATTAAAAACCAAAAGCGTAAATTACTGTTCGGCCATTTAAGAACTGGATAGGTCTATAATTAAAATTCCAATAAAATGATATATATCAATAATTAAAAAAATCCAGGTGGGAAAATTCACTGAAGTTTCAGACAGAGGTAGAAAAGACAAACCGAACAAAACTAGAGTACTTTCCTTTCAATTACGATGTACACAATAAAGTATAGAAGAATGCCGTCTTCTGGGTTGTTGCACCGTGTAGTGTGGCAGATGTCATCAGGGCGATGAATCATCGCCCTGATGAAGGAGGCAGCATGACCTCTGAAACGTTGGTGGACATCTACCAGACTACACGGCGCAACAACTCAGAAGACAGCGATCTTCTGACTCACCGCTGTGAAAACCTCAAATCTTACATAAAATATAGAATCTATCAAATTTGTTTTCACCCTTTTGAATAAAAAAAATAGAAAATCGAAATTCAGAAATGCAGTTTGAAGTACTTTCAGAAGAAATCAATATTGAACATAATTTTAAAGATTGTATTCTTGTTCGCGTCATATTAATAAATATACGTGTAGGATATTTTCTTGTATGTTTATTAATTAGTGGCGCGTGTTTGCAACCGCAGTGGCTACGGTGCTCGACATTAGGATAAAAGTAACATCTGAAGATGGTTGTCTTCTGGGTTCTTGCACCGTGTAGTCTGGTATACTTTTACTGACGTTGCCTTCATCATCAGGGAGAATCGCGATTCGCCCTGATGATGGAGGCAGCAAGGACCTCTGAAACGTCGGTAAACTTCTACCAGACCACACGACGCAAGAACCCAGAAGACAGCCATTTTCGAACTCACCGCCGTGAAAACCTCAAATCCATAAAGTAACATTTGTTGCACTTGCGCTATTTAACTTCTGTAGACGGTATAAGTCCGGCGGGATGGTCAAATGAACGCGATGGAAATGGAACTGGAGCAGACGAATGCAGTATTTAATGGCTGCAGGATTTCTTCCAATCCCTTCACATAAAACACGCAACTAAAGATTACATTGTAGTATATAAAGAGGCAATGAAATATGACTATGAAAGTTTGCGGTCTAAATTGGATGGGGTTGTAGTACGTCCATAGATGAAAGTCGAATGATATTTCAACTACAAAATTAAAGAAACTGATGATTTTTATGTATGATATTATTTATCATTCACTTAGATTTATTAGAAGAAATGTAACATTTAGCTTTCCTTTTGTGGGTAATGCATACTTCGGATTCTTTAGAACTTTTGGTTCTTCCTTCAGTGCCCATACTTATAAAAATCGAAGTCTAAAGTCTTAGGATAACACGACAAACAACAGATAGCCATCAGACCGCTAGTTAACTTTATGAGAGAATACAGGAGTTCCTCTTGCCGCCACCCTGGCGCTGCTGTATCTGCTGCAGATGCTGCAGCTGTGCGGGCGAAGGGATGACCGAGGAGTTGGCAGATGTCGAGGCCGACCCTTCGGATATCGAGTGCCGGGGAAGGGATTGTCTGCGTCTCTTGCGCAGCGCTGGGCTCAGGTTGTACTTCACTTTGGCTTGCGCCAACAATTCTTTGAAAACCTGTGACACGTTCGTGTTCTCCTTGGCCGACGCTTCCACGAAACCGTTCTCCCAGTCAACTGTTACAACAGATTCCGTCGTCTCCAAGTCAACCTGAAACACGGAAATGTTTTACTGGCGATATAAGGCTGTGCCATCTATGTTAACGTATCACGATTACCTTGCTTAGTGTTACTTGCTTAGAAACTTTTGGGCGTTACTAAATATGTTTTAAAGCAAAGGCTTGGGAGTGAAGACAGTTTCCATGTTGAACTAGAAATTGTGTTTCATTTCTAAAAGGACAAACCAGGCGAGAGACTTTTCGCAAGTTTGGGGAAATCTCATTCCATCTAAACAAGTGACAAAAGCGGAATTCATCTGCGGAGACTGTATCCTACCGAAAGTAATCGCCGAGTGGTTAGGATTTCTTCTTCGTATACAGGAGGTTAATGGTTGTTAAAAGTGTTGACTGAGGTGTTCGTGTTGTTATTAAGTCTCTTTAGGTTTATAGCGGCATGCACGTGTGATACCGAGAACTTTCTGGCATCATGTTACTCTATTTCGTCTTTTTAATATTTTGCTATATAACGACAACTTGAATGGAATTACACATTTAGGTGCACAGAGTCAATGAAGTTGTTATGAAATATTTTGATTTCAAATATTACTAAAATATTAATGTTAACATGTTTATTCAAGGAGAAGTGACATTTCTGGCCCAGAAATATGTGAATATAAACATGAATATCGTTTATAATACAATATTTATGTTTGATTCAATTCATTTATTAAAGTGTTTGGCAACATCGAAGAGCTAATGACAGACAAACACTGATAATACACGCATATACAAAAAACAAACAAACGAAACTAAATATATAAATGAATATATATAATAGATCAATCAATTTATACTACTAACGTTTTAAATGTGGTAGGCCTGTTTGTAATGTAAAGTTAAAATGTTTGGACATGTCATGGCAAAATTGGTTGTTTGATGGAATGTGCCCTTTTGAAGTTGTCTGCTGCATCTGGAAGGTGACGAAGGCCAGCATACAGCTGTGAAAAATGTCCATGATGTACCTGTTTAAAGTTGTAATGACATCTGTGAATCTGTGAAATCGGATCATTTCTTCCCTTCGTTATCTTCCTAGTTGTTCCACTGATATTTTACCGGGCATTAAACTATCAGTAGGAAAGTTTGTTAATTTAGATTTCTGGCAGGAGTGTTTTGTGCAACCATATCCAGACCTACCCCTGGATGCACGCAACCCTTTGTCTACTGGGGATCGTGTCCATTTCCCCGGGAATAATTCGTCGATCCGTGAAGCTGGCCACTTAACTCCGCAAACCGTCGATTTCTAGAATGTGCGAAGCCTTTTCACTTTGCTGCCTTTCCTCAGGGACAATTTTATCTGTGTAGAATTGATATCACAGCCATATAAAGGTGTTATAATGAAACCGAATAATTTAACTTAAATTAAAAATAAATAATTTCAAATCTACTTGTGAAGAATAAAGTTAGTTACAGTGTTATTTTAAATTTGCATAATCCAGTTATAAAACAGTTTCTTTAATTCTAACGTTTTAATTTTAGGCAACTTGCGATAAGGAGCGATCTGAAATACACATTAATCAGTGAGTGTAAAATGGAGTAATTCCAGATTTCTTCATTTTCAGAAAAGCACGAAAACACTTATTATTCTTTTTTCTATTATCAGAATTTACAATTAGGAATTAGTAAAAACTACTGCAGTGAATATAATAAGAATATTATTGTTATTATTTTATGACTTTTTATGTGAATTTTCTACATCTTAATTTCATGAGACCAAAAGTAGCCTCATGGTGGCCCTGGGTTCAAATACCTGCCCGATATACCGGCTAACCTGACTGGGTTTTTGTGAATTTCCTCAGAGGTTTGCAGACAAATGTCTGGATAACGCCTTAAATAGGCAGTAACCGCTTCGTTTAAAGTTCTTTCCAATTCATTATTCATTAATCTTCCTCTCATCCGACGTTATGCAGACTAATCTGTTGTACTAATCGTGTCGTTAATGAAATACAAACAAATAAAAATAGGTTCCATGGAATTATTCCCCTATTATATTTAAACTTAATTTATAAATCAAATTTATTACATAAATTACTTTTACTTTCGCAACTACGTAAGAAGAGAACGTGTCAAAGAAAATTAAGGATTTAAACTGCAATTTTGAGCGTTCGATTTTGTTAAATGTACAGTACAGTACTAATAAATGTTCACAGATTATTGTTCACTTGTTGACACTTAATGTTGTTTAATTTTATATTATTATATATTCCGCTTTCTTAGTAACAGCTGGCAATCTTCGAAATTCACAACTTCGTTCCCCTTCTTCAAATCGAAATTAATTTCCTGTTTTTTGAATTTTTCTTTATTAACGTCATCACACTGCCCGTTTTCCAGAGCTCAATACGGATTTTCACATCATAGTTATTAATAGTATGTTGTTAAATAAAACATACTATATTAAATGCACACAACAGTAACAAACTGAGTACCTTACATAACAATAAAAACAATGAATACTAAACAAAATCAGTAAGACATTTCTTCGAAGAAATTAAACGGCCTATTTATTGATGCATTTATTTTGAATGTCTGGCCGATTAATGTTTCATAGAGTCTGAATTCCTTGACGAAAAAATATGTTGGACTTTATATATATGTATGTTTACAAACTTCGTGTGCGTGTTCCAGGATCAAAAATAAGAAAAAATGTTCCTGTGAACATGAGGTCGCAAATGTTTCATTTTCGAAATGGTAGCCAAAAATATGTCAAAGAGAACCCAGCTTCCAGCAAAGATTTTCAATTAACGTTTGGGCAGAAATTGCAGGCGACATGCTTATTGGTCCACACATGCTTCCATCGCGTCTAAGAGGACCTTCATATCGGCGATTCTTAAGAAGACAACTGCCACGTCTCCTTGAAGTTGTACCACTAAATATAAGAAGACAAATGTGCTTTAATGCACGACAGAGCCCCAGTACACTTCTCCCATCGCGTCAGAGATGATCTCAATGAACAGTACCCTCAGCGATGGATTGGACGCGGTGGCCCAGTAGCATGGCCACCGAGGTCACCGGACCTGACTCCATTGGACTTTTATCTGTGGGGCACTTTAAGTCCGTCGTTTATGCAACACCCATAAACAATGAAGACGACCTATGAGAACGTGTGCAGAATGCATGCCAGATAATTCGAGGACACCCTGGTGTGTACGACCGAATCCGTCACTCTTGTGTACGTTGTGCTCGTGCATGTGTGGAGAATGGAGGACCAACCTTTGAGCTTCTTTTATAAAGAAACTTTCCTGTCCTTATACTTGGCAATAAAGGCCTACATTGAAAATTATTTTTGGCTATAATTTAAAAAAGAAGCATTTGCTGCCAGAAGTTCAAAGGAAGATTTTTTCTTATTTTTGATCCCAGAACACGCATACGAAGTTTGTAAACATATTTCTGAATCACCCTGTGTATGTGTGTGTGTAATTTAGGAACTTTCTTATTCCAGATCATCTGAAATGTGATTCCGTTAAAATCATTCTTAAATTTATTTTTTTGCATAAGGTATTCGAATTCGAACTTCTCTTCAATAAAGACATTTTAGATTTGTACATTGTGTAATGAATTAAGATTTATTTTTCTTACAAATAAATGTAATGCAAGAAGCTTATGAAATACGTCTATGCTCTTATTCAATATATTTAGTGTCCTTACATTGTATAAAATATTTACTTTTGTAATAATATCGCTTGGCTTGCTTACTGATTACTGACATATATTTAACTTAAAAATGTAGTCTGTTTTGTGAAATGACAATAAGTGTCGTGTATGGATAAAAATTGAAAATTCCACACTTATTTTAACAATGAAAAATTACTTCCAAATAAGCTATCGTATTATTACGAATGCAAGAGTATACAGACTTGCAGACATTTGAAGCTGATCGGAGCTAAACATTATTAAGAGATCTGTCTAAATTACAACAGTTTTCAAAGATCCATTAAAATCATTCAACATAATGGCAAATTAGAATATTTTGAGGAGATAAGGGTTTGTATCTTTGCCTTCTCATTGCAATTAGATGGAAAAATATAAACGCCATAACATACCTCTCTGTGTTCATCCTCAAGATCAATCTTATTTCCTACAACGACGATGGGAACTGCTGTCCCGCCTTTCGTCTCGTGGATCTGGTCCCGCAGAGACCTCACTTCCTCGAATGTTGAGACATCATTTACATCATAAACCAAGATGAAAGCGTCAGCCGAAGATATGGAGAGGGCCCTCATAGCCGGAAATTCGTACGCGCCAGAAGTATCCAAGATGTCCAAGGTGAGGGTGACACCGGCCACGCTGAAGTCTCCGTGATGCATTTCCTCGATAGTGCGTTTGTATTTGGGCGAGAATGTGCCGTAGAGAAACTGGGATATGAGCGACGACTTGCCGACTTTGGCTGCGCCCATCACCACAATCTTGTGCCGTGCGTGCTCTGTAGCTCCAGCTGAGGAATCCGTGTCCACATGGCGTTCGGACCTCGAAGGTGACACGCTGAAGACAGTGAGAATGGGAAGACGACTTATTACATGACAGCCGATTCACTTTAAGAACTGTTACCGGCCCTTCGTCTTTCCGTAATACCAGACTGCTTAGGGTAGATATGTACACTCTAGTGGTTTTTATATTCTGGCCAGATAACTATTTCTTCCGCTTCGCTGGGGTAGTTTTACTGTTTATTCCAGAACGGCCGCCGCTTTTAAACAATGGAATCCAGCTTTGGTTAGAACACGTAGTCTAAAGACAGCAGTTAACCTCGTCTACAGCAGTATTCTACTGAAGGGCTGGCTGGCCTTTGGACACTACAAAAGGCAAGCGGGCCAACACTATCACCCGCTCGGCTCATGTAACTAGAAGATGGAGTTCGATTCTCGATAAGTGCGATTGTGAATTTTTCTCAACGCTGCTGGAGTCTTACATTAGCTACGGAGGCGAGCGGACGTGTTTCTACAGCTCAAGGAACAATGGGTGTCACCTTAGAAAGTTACAGGGCCAGAGTTGGCGCTTTTGCAGCCAGGAAAGCGAGGATTCACGCAGAAGGGAGCCGGAAAGTTGAGTTGGCAGGGCAACAGACGTGGTTCCTGGGTCTGGTAGTAGCGACTCTTCTGGTGATTGGAGGAGTGGAACTAAACCCGGGGCCGCCAACCGAACAGGACAAGATCGACCAGATATTATCCCATGTTAAAAGCCAAGCTTGGGAGACGAAAGCTATCAAGGAGCTTTTGGAGAAGCACAACCAGGAAATAGGTGACTTGAGGAATGGGACGAAGGACTTAGGACCGAAATTGGAGACGCTAAGCGCGTCAATAAATGAAGTGATCAGGGATTACAAGAAGATAACCCGGGTAGTGAAAGAGTGGGAGGAACGGCAGCAGAGGATGGACGATAAAACTAGGCAGCTGGAAGAAGGGAATCGGAAGAACAATATCCTTATATTCGGGTTGGTGGAGAAAAGAGAGGAGGGCTACTTCGACACGCTGGATACGGTATGCAAGTTCCTCAAGGAAACGATGAAACTAGAGATCCCGAGAGGGAACATCGATTACGTAGGCCGGTTGGGTCGAAGCAGAGGTGAGCGCCCGATATTGGTGAAATTTACCACGTTCGCTTCTAAGCTAGAGGTACTCCGGAACACTAAGCACCTGAGTGGCTCCACATTAAGTGTAGACGAGGATTTTGCTCCAGAAATAAGAAAGTGTAGGAGGGAGCTGATTCCCTATTTACGAGATGCTAAGAGGAGAGGGCACAGAGCTTTTTTGAAGAAGGATAAACTGGTGGTGGACGGGCGGGCCTACGCCCTGGAATACCTTTCAAGGAACATGCAATTGGAAACGCGGGACAGCGGGGTGGACACCCCTGCGGTCAGAAGGTCGGCTAGCGCCGAGGGAAGGACTCCTCGGAAAACGGGTAGCAGTGGATCGGATGCCAATACCCTGCAAAGGAGCACCGTTACACGGGAAAAACCGACCGAAACTATGCACGCTGGGTTGGGCTGCAGGGTGAGGACGGACACCGCGTCGCAAGTTATAAAGTTAACGCCGCAGGGAGGTGCAGCCTCTGCGAGGCGGGCGAGGCCAGCTGACCGCGCGGAGGACAACGGCTTGACAACGGAACCACGGAGTGAGAGGGTCTGCAGGCAATACAACCTGAGGAGCTGGCTCACGAAGCCGAGTGACGTGTCCGGCAGGGAGGGAGGAGGAGGAGGTGGAGGAGCGAGGGTTAGAAGTGGCTCAACATAGGCCCGCGTTAGTGTGGCAGGTTTGTTAAGGGTAGGATTCTGGAATGTGGAGGGGCTTAAGTGTAAAATGGGCACAAAGGATTTCTTAGATTTTCTGAGTGGCCATGATATTGTGGGGATTGCGGAGAGCTGGGCGGGAAGCGAGGTTTTTGAAATTAAAGGGTTTGTCAGCTTTTGGAAAGAAAGAAGAAGAATCGCAAGATTCGGTAGGAATCCGGGGGGACTAGTAATCTATACAAGGGAGGGAATGAGCAGAAAGGTGATTGAGATAAGGACGGGCATGAAGGAGGTAATATGGGTAGGAGTGAGAGGGCACAATGGCGTGCAGGTCCAGATATGTATGGGCTTTGTGTATAATGCGCCCCAAAGCTCAAGGTGGTTTAATCCCAATTTTACAACCGAGTTGGAGGAGGACTTGAAGATGTTGAGGGACCGGTTCGTGGAGACGGAATTTTTAATAGTGGGGGACATGAACAGTCGGGTGGGGACAAAGCAGATAA